GCTGTGAACTGCAGCAAGAAAACATTAGCTGATTTCACCTAAACAAACATCAATAACTTCCCTCATACTTGAGATTAGGAATGCGCGATATAAACGATATATGGTAGAAACGATAGAAATTTGTCCTATGACAGAGATCTGTAGTCTACCGGCCAACCGTGAAATTCTTTTTGATGACGTAACCGGCTGGAGTCAAAACAGAGGAGGCGGGAAACAGTGTCGCTGAGAGCGCAAATGGAGAAATAAACAAATTATCCGGACCTGGTTCAGGTGTGTGAAAATGAATGCTGAACTGTTTACATGTTTACGTGACGGCGCGTCCTGTCGGCTGCTGAACGACCACAGTGCCTGCAACAGGAGGAGCGCGCGCTGCGGCACATGGTGACGCAGCGAGGCGACAGTCAGTGCAGCTGAAGTCAGTGCTCAGGTGGGACGCAGAAAAGCTCGCTGAGTCTGGACCTCATTTCTCCTGCGATCATAGCGCAATACTGTCTCCTTGTACAGCGGTGAAGCGCTGTGGAAAAGTGTGACTGTCAGACTGTCTTTCCAAAAAAAAAAGCATAAACGGGACGATTGTCACCCCGCCGGAGCGCGGTGACAGATTTAACACGTGGAGTGCAGAAAAAGTCATCTGCAAAGTGTGTAGAAAGGAATTCGTGTATACAGTTTTGTACCGAAAACCATTTTTTTGTTATGATATGACTTTTCTGAATACCGGTGTAAATAGTCTGAACACGTGCGGAATGTTTCGTCGCGAACGCTGTTTCCCTGGGGACACGTTTCCTTGCAGCACCACTAAGCACATTAGCATGCTAACGTTATTGCTGGAACAATTGGTGGCAGGTGGTGTGTTTCAGCCGCTGCTATGGTCTGACGTAAAAAAAAAAAAAAACATCCCGTTTTCACCATCGCTGCACAGTAAACAACTCTTCAGTGATGTGCACGGTTAGATTTAACGCGCTACGTTATAATGGAGACGTTACTGCATGGAGACTCTAGTGTGCTTCTATTGTGAAAAACCCGGGGGAAGTAGTTTTATAGTGTAGCAAAGTTGACTGGTGTGCAAAGTGAGTCGTCCTTTTAAGTTTTATTAATATTATCGTTATTTAGTAACGATAGACCAGATAATGATTTTTTGTCAACCCTTTACAATCGTACCTAAATGCATGATTACTGTCTACTACCAAAGAAGAAAAGTACAAGAGGAGGGAAACAGTGATACAGAGGGACAGTAAAAGAAAAAAGTCAATAAGCAAAGTTTGTACATTTTATTATCAGCTGAGCTGTGAGGAAAAAATATACCGTCAAATACCGTGAAACCAGTGTAATTGTTGAAAATACCGTGATAAAAAATTTGGGTCATACCGCCCAGCTCTAACAGGAATAAATACAAGCAGTTTGTTTTACCACCTTAAAACGAAGGTGATTACAAACACGACATCCAATAGATGCAGATATCTATTACATTAAAGTTATTGTACGAGTGTGTGTGTGTGTGTGTGTGTGTGTTTTATTTAACCACGTCTCCCTTAAATTTAGATTTTTATGGGAGACTTTAAAGTGTCCCTTTAAAAAGGAGATTTTAAGGTCTAAATTTTTTTACCCATACATATTCATACAGTCCACTCAATTAATGTGTGATTTATTTATTTCCTAGTGTAAGTTCTATATCGTCATATATATCGTTACCGCCACCCATCATAATGTATTTCGTGATATGAATTTATATTTTTTTTTTTGCCATATGGCACATTCCTACAATAATCACAAGACTTTGGTGTTTTTTTTTTTGTTTTTGTTTTTTTGTATGGTTTGAAATGTTCTTTTGGAATCCGTTGTCAGGTTTAATATTGGTGTAGGATTAAAAATTTATCCACATCCCTATTGTTATCAAATTTGGAACAAGGGCAGATAAAATAATGTTCTTCGTGGCAGCTTGTCTCTTTAAGGGGTCACTAGAAAAACCCGGGTGATTTACTTTGATTCTCTTTAAAGAAAAATTGTCTCTTCAAAACGCATCAACAAAAATTAAAAACTCGAAGACGAGGCTGTAGCTAACTAC